GACACAAAACGGGCACAGTGAAATAAACACGCTCTCTCACAAGGAGAAGCAAGACCACACAAAAAGTGTAGTTTCTGAGCCTCGCCATTGCCGTTTCTGAGTGGAGAAATGTGGCCGTTTTTGATCTCGCCGGTTGTGTTTTTATTGTTGGCTCAAATTTGAAGTTGAGCCCTAATTAAAGCCTTCGCATGAGTTTGGCACGGCAAGGCCCACAAGTCTGTGCTGCAGTAAATTAGCATGTGTTTGGGGAGCGTGGCCAATAGCGGCACACGTCAAAGTCTCAGCGGCAGGGATCCTCTGCATCGTCTTCCTGTAGCTGATGAACCTACCGCAGGTTTGCCCATATTAAACCCCAAATTGAATCATTGACCACATATTAAGAGGCTTGTTACATTTTAGGATCATTTATTTAACTCTGTTACTTAGCTAAGAATTCAGTGAGCTTTCTTTATGCTAATTGCAGCTGTTCACATATTCAGGTATTTATGGTCCATGGTCAAGGACTCTCATGACATCACATTTGTAGGATTTACACCTAAAACCTCTCTGCTCATCGACCAGCACCTTGCTTGTCCAGTCCTGCTACTCCGAATACAAAGAAATAATCAGAGAAAGTGCGGAATTAGGACTGAACTAGAATGAAACTTTGAATTTGGGTGACAGCATTGGACACCACGCATCCACATACCCACAATGCCGGCTTGTTCTTGACAACCACTTCCTCTGTGCTCTGCCTGTGTCCCTTACCACTGTCGCCATGGTGCTGTGTTCTATCATCTGTGACATCCAACAAGAGGCCTTTGACTACAGCACAACTCGACAAGAAGCATAGAGCAGCAGCTCTCCGACACCGGCGTCAAAATGTAATTCCCATACACGCTTATCTCTGATGTTCTGAATTCTGGATTGAATCAGCAGTTCTTAGAGGTATTCAGAGTTCTCAGTCTACGAAAGGTCGCACATATGAATTTTCAATGTGTAGTTCTGCACTGGGAGTCCGAAGAAGAGCTGACATTCAGTGGAAAATTCCATCGTCAACTGTTGATGGAATCAGATCGCCGTTCATTATTTTTCGACTTCTCCACGTTGCTTATTAGTTGTGACCAGCAGCCATATCAGGCAGCTGATATGAAGCATGACATCATCAGGTAATCCCTGTCATCTGGTTTGTCCCTCCGGACCACGTGATCTTTTTCGATGTGTGGTGGACTGTAGCCTGTTCACACTGACTGACTTCGACTTGCTTCATCGCAAAATGGCTTTTATCAAACCCACAGAAATTAAAGTCGCAACAAAAAAACAAACAACGCCAAATGTTAATGCGTGGCCAAAGTAGTATTTGCTGCGAGGAGATGCAGAGGGGTCAGGTGACTGGGCCCCACAGCTGGTTACCAAGGAAACGAAGGCAACAACAAACACCAGCCACCTGACAGCACAGTGAAGGGACAGCAAGGCCACACAATCCAAACAGAATGGATATGAGAGCAAATAAACCATGAAGGGCGCTTGTTTTTGATGTGTTTAAGTATGCTGGAGAGTATGTGTGCAGGGAATTATGTACGTGATCATTTTTGAGATCATTTAATTTTAAATCCATGAATAAGAAAGAAAAGTTTCCAGACTCGAGACACGAAACAAGCATGAGGAATCTTCCAGCGTCCCTCAGAGCTGTACGTATCCTGAACCTTTAAGGCCACTCAGACCACCTTGGGCCTCTCATAGCTGGACATGAGGTCCTAATGAAAATATTGGCCCCCTTCCACCAAGATAGACCTAAGTGCAGCAGTGATCATTTTACCATCCATGTGTGGGCGAATTTGCTTGGGATCTGTTCTCCCTTTTGATATCACTCGTCTCTCCCTCTCTCTGCCTCTCTGCCTCCCTGCAGAGCTCGAGATGTGTCTCACAGACCCATCGCTGGGCGTGTGCATTCCTGAGGGCTGAACATCCTGTTGCCGCAGTCAGCGAGGCTCGCCGTGCTGCACGTACACATGCCACCCCCATCCCCCCTCCCCACAGCCCTCACACACGCCCCCCGGGCACCAGCCCTCCCAGCACCTCCCAGCTTTTTAAACAGGAAATGGGGGCTCACGCAGTCCTGCATCAGTCGCCGGCATTAAACACTACGCTCACTGTAGGTACTCAGACTTCCAGGGCTCCGCCCACGTCCTGCTCCCTCACTGTTTATTGGCTCCTGTGGAGGGGCACACTTTTTCATAGGCTTTGTGAAACCACAAATTGGGAAAATATGAAGCCCTTTGAGGGGGTTCAGCGTCGCCCCGGGGCCTCCCTTCCAAAGGGTTTCATTCCGCACAAATGCTGCAGCGAGCCTTGCCCGCTCTGTCCTTGAACTAGGGCCCACGAGAGGAGAGTGTTTCAGTCCGTGTTATTATTATAGCTATTAACGTACATTTATTCTCAAAATTCTGGTGATACATAACGAGGGAAGCGCAGAATAGGAGCTTAATAAAAGATAAAGCGATGTCCTCTTTGAAGCAACTGTCTATTAATGGTGGTAAAGTCTAATGTTATAAATGGAATGAATGGAAATGCTTGAATATGTTCATATTCTGGCCTATATTTAATAATATAGGTGTAAAATAGGAGCCTTGTGACCTCAAGGCCCAGTGTGTGAATCCTGCCTCTGTATGTCTTCCTCATGATCACATGAGTTTCCTGCAGGTACTCCAGTTTCCTCTTGCAGTCCAAAAGCATGCGGTTAGGTGAACTTTTGCCCTTAGGGTGTGATTGTGCGTGTTCATGTGACAGGGAGTTCTGGGTCATGTGCACTGTGCTCTCTTAGATAGGCTCCATATTCTCCAAGGCTTCACTGGAAAATCGTTACATGTAGCAATGGCAGACAAATCACAAGTGTTTGCACACTCACAGCTGTACTGGGAAAATGAGCTTGTGTGTCATAATTGTGCTAATATTCATACAAAAGGCAGCATGAGTTTCGCTACGTGTGTTTTTGTGTGTATATTTGGAAAGGGAGAACTAGGGACATCGCTTAGCGGTCTGACCTGTTGTGTGCGGGTGTTGTAGTCCTTCAGGCTGCAGGGAGGCGACTGCAGAACCAGCCAATACCCCCTTACGCATCAGCTATGTGACGAGTACAAGTGATTCAGCCATATGCTTGTGGGTATAAGTCATGCGGCCATACACAGCAGCAGGTGAGCCGTTCCACCGCACATTCCACACTAACAATGTAAACATATTTCATGTTTGCATAGATGTTTTCATATTTACGTATATTTTTGACCAAATTTGAACTGTTTTTTTTTTTTTCTAAAAGTGTCATTTATTCGAGCAGAACTGGTATATTATTTTCAATCTGCAGATTGACTTTGTGGGCTCCTGGCTCCGTTTTCCTGTAACGCTTCAGTTCCTCGAAATCTATCCTTCCGTCTCCCTGATTGAAAGCTCCTAAAACCCAGTTAGAAAAAAGCAAATCCGACTGCTCTGGACTTGACTGAGAGGTCGGGACGGTAGAGGCGTGGTGGAGATCCGGGTTCGAGTGGAGGGTCTCCTCAGCGGTGGCCACAGTTCAGGATGGATGGTAAATGCGATCCAGAAGAGAAAGGTCCAGAAAGAGCATAAGATCTATGAAAAGCCACCGTTACTGATCCTTGGAGGTTACATGCTGCTCACAGCAACGTCAGCCCACGTTTGGGCTTTTGGTGAAACCTCACATGATGCAAACAGACCTGGAATGTTGATGGGTTGCAGCTGAGTGGGGTTTCACAGCGTGGCCCTACAGCATCTGCTCGCTATGTTTCCATCACCTTTCTTTTGGGTTGTGGGTTCCCCTTCCCCAGAGAACCCAAATCGATGAGAGAAACCATTTCCGAGCACGAATAATTAACAGCGGACAGGAGTATGAGAGTCACAGGGTGCGAATCATCTGCCTATGGAACAGGATGACGACTTAGGCAGAACCCAAAAAATCTTTAGCAGTGGGATCTGCCTAGCATGCAGTGGTTTGATGATGGATGGATGGAATGGCCTCCAAGCAACCTTCTCCTGGGGGTCGCTCACACTCCTGTAGTCCCCTCATATCCATGAGACCCCGGGGCTGCAGAGTCGATCCTCCAGCAGAGCCTAATTCCACACACTCAGTCGGCAACAAGCTGCTTCTGCCTGCTGGGCGTTTTGCAGTGGTACTCTTCAGGTTGCACGTCCGCTCCGAGGAGGTAGAATGGCGAGGGGGAGGGGGAATATGGTGCAAAGGAGCCCAGCATGACAGTGAGAGCACAGACCCCCATACTGCTATCACAGGAGGCCCAGAATAGCTCCTCCTTGTATATGCCTGTCTGCTCCCTCCCCCTCCCTCTCCCTGGCCCCTCCCTCCACAAACCTGCAAATCATTCAGGTCAACCCTACCTCTCTCTATCCAAGGATTCAGGCAACTGCCCACGGAATCCGCCCCCCCAGGCCCATATGGAATATGGACCCCCTGTTCACCATGGGGGTGGGGACACAGATTTGTGTAGTAGTAATGACAGTAATTCTGTATAAACAGGTGCTCCTGCTGTTTTTCCTGGCTGTGTGGAGTTAGGGATTGTGGGATTACATGCTGATGTCACCTGACAGGTCAGAGAAACCAAGCTCTTCCCGATGTCGCCTGTCTGCCACTAGAGCAGAGGGCAGCCAGCGTGTAAGGAGACCCTGAGCAGGGACACGAAGGGGACACAGGCTTGCACAGGCCACCTCCCTTAGCTGTCCATCGTGTCCGATGACGACGCTTGCTCCGGGGATTGGGGGGCAGGATTGGGGGGGGGGGACAATGGTTTTGGCGTTGGTGCCACTTCATAATAGGCCACCACACACGCCGCGATGCACAAGCAGAATTGGACTTGCAGAATACAACTTTAAACTATTACAAATGGATAATTAAAAAGAAAAAAAAAATCACCGGACATTTCATTAAAACATTTTTAGATTTATTTCAGTGTTACATTTACTAACATAAATAAACATTTTATGAACAAAAAGGCACACAGTTCAAATATAAACAGAGAAAAAAATGTATGTACAACTTCTCACATAACATGGGGGGGGGGGGGTAACAAGGTGAAGCAAGCCGATGAGGGTGTAGTTGCTGGGGGGGCGGAGTCACTGGGGGGTGAAGACGCGCGGCCCCCAAAATCCCAATTTGGGGGGGTTTGGGGGCAGGAGAAGTGAGGCACAGAGGGTCAAAAACACCGGCAATGTCGTTCAGACGGACACGGTGCTGGGTACCTCCTCGTACTGGATGATGAAGTAGGGGTAACTCTGGTCATCATTAAAGATGACGAATATCTGGGGGTCCAGCCAGTTGTCCACGCAGGAGTCGTACAGGTCGCTAGAGGGGTCCCTGGGGTTGAGGGGGGGCGGACGGCGCATGGAGGGATTGCCCACTGTGACGCGGCCCGTCAGCACCTTGGCCAGGAACATGAAGTGCACGCCCTTCGCTGAGCGCTTGGAGAAGTTGTGCGAGTACACGGCCTTACGGGCGAAGTAGCTGCCCTGGCCAAACATGGTGGCGTGTTTGCCGCACACGCGTGGGTCAAAGTTGTGCTTGCAGATGCCTTCTACCACGTCCTGCGACGTGCCGTGGAAGAGGTGGCGCTCGTTTAGCATGCGGTCCATCTCCGACATCTTCCTCGACATGTACTCCTTCTTCCTGTTCCGGGGAAGAAGAGGGGCAGGGGCAAGAGGTCAGTGACGAAGACTTCGGAAGATTCCAGAAAGCTGACAGTTGCCGCTCCATACACATACATAAAATGCAATTTCGTGCGGCTATTTCTGGGACAGATGTTTCTGTGGGCGTCAGCATGACTGGAAGGTGCATTGGGGAAATGTGCAGATATCACCACAATTTCCTGTATTGCTTACAGTTTCCTCAAAATGGATGATGGAACCGGGTGGCCCAAATCAGGCTTCCCTCTGGACCCCTACCCAACCTTACAGAAGATCGGCGGTCTCAAGGCTGCTTCTGGCCTATTTGCCCCGTTAACACTGAGCACCGTGGAGTGCGCTTCCCTTATCTGTGCCGGGCCTCTCCCACACACCCCTTGCCCCCCCCCCCATCGTCTATTCTGCGGGGGCTCATGTAGACACAGAGACGCACGCACCGTCCATGACTCAACAACATCCTCCCTCCTGTCTGACTCATCTGCCAGTCCTGAGAGCTTCAGGCAAAGTGAGATGTTTTCATGGGTGGTGAGAGAGGCCCCCAGGTGCAAAGCCACAGAGCCCATTGCCGTGAGAAAAAGGTCCTCATTCAACTGAAATTCAGACCCTTCAACGGCCTGCTGCCAGTGACAGCCGACACTAAATCCACGTGAGGCTATGAAACACTAAATCCTGTTTGTTGCCAATTGAAGAGCAAATTCCTAAACTCAGTCCACGGGATACGTTTTCCAGAAAAATTCTGTGGAATTCTGAGTTTTGGTGTGAATTTTACTCTTAATCTGCTCCAGAACTTCTGCTGGAACTCAGATCCCCGGCAGACACTTGGATCCCTGCTAGCTACTCACCTCTTGTACTTCTCCCAGAGGAAAGGGTTCTGAACCCGGAGGATGCGGAGAATTCGGAACTTGGTCTCTGACACGGTCTTGTGGAAGAGGCTGTAGACGGTACGGTAGCTGCGGTCCTCCCGAGCCACGGGCACCTGCAGAAAGTCCTGGTAGGAGCTCATCGGCAGCCAGGTCTCGGGGTAGAGCCGCGAGGGGTCCGGTGAGGTAGGCGAGACGGGCACGGGGCCCTGAGTGGAACCCAGTCCGCTGAGCGTCCTGCAAACAGAACACAGAACACGGTTATCCGTCTCCTTCAAGGCAATACTGTTAAACGCGGCTTCCAACATGGCGGACCCCAAACTGCAACACAATGGGGCAGCGACCCGAACGGCGCAGGCAGTGCGCATGTGCGGAGCCAGAAGGGGTAACATCTGGGTAAATGGGGGCGTCCGGCTAAGCGCTAACCTCACACAACTGGAAGGAATCTTATCGTGACTGTCGACCAGCAGCTGTGTGACAGCGGCTGGCTGCAGAGCACCCCGCCTCCCCCCCCCCACCCAACAAGGCTCCCACACGCTTGCACCGGGGATTCCAAGACGCCCGAGCAAGACCGTGGGAGACACTAATCCTGCCAGTCAACTTCACATGAAAAAAAAAAGATTGCGGTCAATTAAAAAAAAAAAAAAAAACGGAAGGACGGGCAGAGGGGGTGTGAGGAACAGAGCTGCTTACTGAGTTACGGGGGCCTCTGCCAGAGGGCTAATGGCCCCCACTGTGGCTAGGGGAAGGCAGATCTGCACCCCAGTGTTGAGGCTGGAGAGATAAGAGGGGCAGGGTAGAGCTAGCTGTGGATCTGTGCAGGCTGAGAGCGACACAGAGATGAACACCACAGGCGTTCCCACGCGCTGACTTTCACACGGACAGACACGCACACACAGTCATACCGGCACAAGCGCTTAGACGTTTGCCCACTGTTTACTCCTGCGGCTCTGCTCCCGTCAGAGGCGCTCCCACGGCCAGCGTCGCACGCGAACTCGCAGTCTGCAGCCACCCGCCGGGTCGCCACAAAGCCGCCACCTCGGTCTGGGGCACGAAAGCTGCCCCTCCCACGCCACCCCCCCCGCAGACTGATGCGGGCGGCTCGTTGAGTACGGCTAGATTCACACTTACTGTAAGTATGGCGTCAGCATCACAGCCGAAAGGAAGAGGGGCCTCTTCCTGATCTGCCGGCGGAACCCAAAGACGGCGTTCTGCTGAAAGCCCTCACGGATGTTCAGGATGTACTGGTTCTGGAGTGTGATGAAGCGGACCTCCTTCAGGCCACGGCTGCTAGCCTCTTCGATGAGACGGACCACGGGCTGGAGGACGAGACGAGATCACCGTGAGTCCACTGGTGCCGGGCCAGGTTCAGATCCGAACCCACCCACCAGGTTTCCCAAGCGGCTAACATTATGGAAGGACCAGTGACCTGTGAGACCAAGCCACCTTCCCACCGGCGGTTGCTTGTGTGTGAATGTGTCCGTAATGTAAAGGTCGGCCATTTTGGTCTGATACCATGCAAACTTCCCCTTAGGAGGCTGCAGTGCTCATGAGGAATGTGAAGATGACCAGCATGGAATAAACCAGCTGGAATAATGAATATGTCTGGCTGTTTCTAGGTATATCACGTGGTTTACGACTTCTGGGGGTGGCCTGTGTGCACTCACCTCAGAGTATTCCCTCCAGCCAAAGTTATCTCTGCAGTAGTACTTCCATACAGTGTGACAGCTGGGGACAAGGCTTGAACTGGTGGGCGCAATGGCCAAGACAGGGGGCGTGGCTGTCGGGCTTGGGGGCGTGGTCGTCGGGCTTGGGGATGTGGACAGACGTCTGACCAGGTCGAACTCCACGTCGACCACCTGCATGGTTCCGAAGTGCAGGGTGAACGCACGGCCGCTACGGGAAGGATGAGACAGAGAGTGAGAGATCCGTGGATGCAGATGGTCCACCTGCATGTCATACCGACAGACTGGCCTACATCAATGGAAATCCACGCAGAGATATTCAAGGTCCATCAGTGAATCACTAGCGGGTGCTACTCATTGCACTGGTGCCAAAAGGACCCCCCAACCGAGACAGGCAAACACTTTTCATGCTCTTCAGACAAACAAGCATAATAGCAAAGCACATGTTACTGAAACCCTGCACACGAACAAAAGGTCACAGTTCAACCAGGACAGGGTGATCCAGTAGGCTGCGTGCTCTCTGTGATCAAACCACGCCCCCCACTCTCTAGATACTAACCCCTATGTGGACCTGAGCGGAACATAAATCTCCTTCAGGCTTTACTCAATCACACCCCTGATCCCCCCATTAAGGTCATTCTGCTGCGTACATCAGAAGGTCCCCAAGGGCTTGAAACCACAACCTTTTCAAGGGCGGGGGGGTTTGTCAATAGGAACAGAACCAGAGACAGAAACTGTTAGACCAGGACTGACTGGAACAAGGTCTGCTAGCTCAGGATAAAGGCGCCCATTAACAGGAACAGAGCGGCCACTCTCTCACATGCTGTCAAACACCGGGAACTATCCTGACTGGCTATGAATGGCTTGTTCTAGAACCTGGGGAGGGGAGGCTCAGTAATTAGAAATCTCTGTCCTATTGGAGACCCCGTCAGATGGTTGCCCACCCTGTTCGCCTCCCACCGTCTTGCGCTTCAGTCCCTGGGTTGGGAACACACTGCCTGCACAGCTCAGACAGTCCAGGACATGGTGTGTCTGACTGCTGGTGTCAACTGCCCCCCCCCCCCCAGAGCTGGCTGAGATACCGGTCCCCGGAGGCCGAGAATCATGGCAGAGCGCCGAGCCACAGCGGAACAACATGAAACCGTAACAGAATCATACTGGTTACGTGTGTGGATGGATAGTCATCTCACATCATTCAGCAGCGTAGGAGGACAAAGCAACTGGGAGCCACTGGAGACCCTCAGCAAATGTGAACTGGGGGGTGGGGGGGTTAGGGTTGGGGGGGTTCACTTTGTACATTTGCACTTTGTTCATTATAATGTTGACCCTGTGCTAACTTGCATATGACAAATAAAACTGAAACTTAGGGGGGGGGGGGGGGCGGCAGAAATGCTGAGTAATGTTTCTGCAGCAGAGGGCCCCCCCTCTGGGATTCCACTCCACTCCACGTCACACCCACATGCCAGCTCAGGAGACAAACCCCATGCGGTTCAAACCAAAAAACAAACAGGAAAATCACACAGCTCCTCTGGCCTGGGATGGGGCAAACAGAAAGCAGACATGCTGACAGAAAGGAAGGGAAAACCTCCCCCTCTGCCCCCCCCAGCAGTGAAAACCGGCACCCAGAAGAGTGTGTTCCTTCACAGGATGGGACTGACACAGGAACGTGCAGTGACTTCTGGGTAATACAGCATAACAGAGGACACCCAGCATCAGCAAATAATGAGAAGAAAACATATTGCGAGCCCACTTCACCCCCCCCCCCGAAACACACAGACGCTCTCGCAGTAACCTGACAAACTGCTCAAGCACCCAGCAACGCAGTTTCATGTCAACGCCTGTGTTGCGCAACAAGGCGTGACGTGCTGGTGGGACGGGCCACAGGTAGCCACAGGTGCCCGTAACCACAGGGCGGGCAACAGCACGCACAAAGGCTGGGCGCTGAGAGCCTTCGTGTTGTGGTGCGGGGGCAGGGGAGGGGGGTCACAGCCTCACAGAGCTATCAGGGGGTCCATGACCCCTGTGGTGGTGAACCTCAATGTGACCCCAGACAACCCATAAAACCACCACCCCTACTCCCCCCACCCGGCTTCCTGCCTCCCAGGGGGCAACCAAGTCCTACACTAAAAATAAAATTCCATGGGTTAAATTAAGTGCGAAGGCCAATTGTTTGTTGGCGAGTCGGTTAGAGGGACGGTTTGGCTGGGGTTCCTAGTTGGCCTAACTGGGGCAAATCCAGCTGGCCATGGGGCAGGGGGAGGGTCGCCGGCCCATGACGTGATGTCAGAGAGAGTGAGGTCACCAAGCTCACAAAGGGCAACTTACAGAAGGACAATCTGGGCAAGAATAGGTGAACAGTAAAAGGTGGTTTGTTTTTTATCACGTTTAAGTAACGAAAAGGAACCTGTCCTGGTCACATCATTAGAAAAAGATGGACTCCTGAAGGTTCTGAGGTCAACTTGGGAACGCGAGAGACAGCCGGGACACGTGAGAATGAGCAGCAGATAACAGCCGGCACACCTGAGAGCTAAAGCGGTCAAAGGGCACCGCAAGCCTGTGGAACCGGGAAGCGGCAGAGTCATCGCACACACAACCTGTTCTGAAAGCTCCGGAAAGTAAAACCTGGCTGAGTTTCAGCAAAAGGGAGAAGCAGCTTGTCATGCAAATGATGGGTTATTTGAATTCAAATGAAGGAGAGAGAGCGAGCGTGGGGGAGGGCAAGAGAGCTGCAGGCAGAGAGCGACCCCCCTCCCCCCAGCGACGAGGGGCCGGCCTGCAGTAGGAAACGGCCCATCAGCAGTACCAGCATCACCCGTTTAGGCACCAATAGCAGTGAAAGCCTGGACTACCCCGTCTTGTTGACACCAACAGATGAACCACACGGAATACTCCTTTGCCAAATATAACTGCAGAAACAAAGCGGGTGAAGCTTTGGCAGAAACAGCAGAGTCAGTTAGTGAGTTGCAGAAAAAGAGGGTCATAGTTAGAGTATATTTAGAGTTAGACATAGAATAGGGTCATAGTTTGAGAGAATACAGTCATGGATATACATAGAGTAGGGTCATAGTTTGAGAGAATACAGTTAGGGATAGACACAGAGTAGGGTCAGAGTTTGAAAGAGTAGAATCGGGGATAGACATAGAATGGTTAGGGTTAGATAGAGTAGGGACGGAGATTGAGAGAGTAGGGTTAGAGTTAGACAAAGAGTAAGGTTGTGGTTATAATTAGTTATAATTAGTTATCATTAGAAACAGGGAGTAGGGTTAGACACAGTACAGTTATAGTTAGATACAAAGTAGGGTTAGAGTTTGGGGGAGTAAAGTTAGAATTAGACATGCAAGTAAGGTTAGGGTTAAACACAGAGTAGGATTGTGGTTATAGTTAGATATGGAGTAAGGTTATCATTATAAATAGAGAATAGAGTTATAGTTAGACACAGAGTAGGGTTATAGTTAGACACACAGTACGGTTATGGTTAGACAGTTAAAGAGATTAGGAGTCAGACAGAGAGCCCCAGCTGAGTTTTAGTGAGGGGCTATCATGAGATACACAGAGTGTGGCAGTAGGGTTGGGGTTAGAGATCAGAGCAGCAGGACAGCAGAAGGTCTGCCAGTACGCTACACCCAGCCAACACGCATTCATCCTCTCACAGCACTGGGATGAGCTCTCAGACATGTGGAAAGAATGTAGTCTGTCTGGGCGTGTAATTCATCTTATAGGGATCCTCTCACATTCAGTCACACACGGCGGTATTCCTCACCCACTGCGCACTGTAGCACCGTGCCTACCTCACTAGCACGCTGCGATTTAGCAGCCAGGTGTGCTAAGCCCCCCCCGGGCCATGACCCCCCCACCTCCTGAGTGGGAACACACCCAGCTCATGGTGATATCATCTCCGGTCACATTCCTCCAACACACACACTGACCATGTGCCGATAAGGCGGTTTCACCTGACCGGGTGATTGATCGCCCAGGGCAGCGAGCGCGACGGTGACACACATGTATACGCAAACTCGAGAACGTGCGATGCAAACGTCAGACAAGCCCGGGGAGACCCCGCCCACTCTGTGGACGGAACGTTCCCAAACATCCACGGGTGCGACCAGTTCCACCAGGGTGGGGCAGCTGCCTACCCAATACTCTCAGCATGGGAGACGCTCAGCGCTAAGAGCAATGGCAGTCCTTTCTATAAAAAAAAAAAAATCACACAAACACACCAAAATGTTCTACCTTGCTGAATCGGAGTGACACAAAGCTCTGACTGCAACACCCTCAGCTTACTCCATGACGCTGTGGCGGATCTGCATCTGGCATAAAGTCACAACTCATTTCACTCACACACACACACACACACACAGACTTTAAGAAATAGAACCGCTAAAGGCCTTCCCACCAACTAATGGAACAGTGTGATCAAACCACTGTCCTGCCTTATCAAGATCCCATACATCAAGGGTCTCCAACCAGAAGTCCCAGGTTACAAATCGGTGTCTCTAACCACCACGCCACCTACTGTCCCGTCATTAAAGAGAAGAAATTGGGATAATGGAAAAGCACTGAGCGGGTTTTATGAGCACACACCATGTCAGCTGAGAGTCTCGTGTCAGGGTATAACTTGCCACCCAGAGGGGGGGGGGGGGGGGGATAGGACACACAGAGGGAAAAAGCGATGCAACAGAGGAAGAGGACAAAGATAGGACAGAGAACAAGAAGAAGGAAGCACCTTGGGAGGAGAAGTGTGCCTGGAACCGCCGACCCGTCGCCCACAAAAGGGGGAAATGGCTAGTCTGCCATGGGTGGAGATTAAAGGGTTAAAAGGGAGCTGTGAGTAATCAAGATGGGGCCCAGCCTGGCACGGTGATTCACGACACAACTGCCACGTTCTCCGGTTCTCATTCCACTCAGGATGGTTTCGAGCTGTTACGCCCTCAGCCCCCGGGAGTCCACATGCCACTGTCCGATTTGCGCCTGGATGTTTTGTTCCACAAGAGCCCCCCCCCCCCCCCCCCCAATCCTGCCCGAGCAAGAGGGGGAAGTGTGTCTCACGCACCCATACAAGCATACACACACACACACACACACGCTGTGTTTAATATTCACACATATAACAACAGATACAACACAGACTGAAGAACACTGAGCCTGTGTGTGTGTGTGTGTGTGTGTGTGGAGGGGGTGTTCAATCCCCCAGTAAGCTTCAAGGATTGTATGTTTGGGACTAAGAGAGAATTAGTTGCTGGTGGCCCCTTAAACCCTTCCTTCTTGACTTCCAATGAAGGTACATCTATCATCCACAGTGATGGGGGGGGGGCTGCCACCCATGACCCGGCCATTAAGGCTCTGGGAATGCAAACTGGGACAAGGATAGGGAAGGAAAAAAAAACCAACAGTGACTCAGAACACTAGTCTTTAAATAAACACCAAGAATTAACTGCAGATCACACATTACCAACTTCAACCAACATTGCAGGTCAACAGCAATATTATATTATTGTTCCAACATAAGCAAATGAGCACAGCGGGTAAATGTGTGAGCTGGGATAATCAGTGTGAGAATTCATTGTGTGAGCTGGGATAATCAGCATCAGGCCATATCAGGACCAGGGTGCCACTTCCTGCTTGTAACTACGTTTGCATACGCTAATTTCGGCAAAAGCCGGCCGGCTGCGCGGTCTCAAACCACCCAGCCATCAAAAAAATGTATTTAACGTATGTGTCACTGTAGCCTGGGGTGAATGAGAGGGTGGCAGTGTTTGGAGCTGAGCCCGCAATGTGAGTGTCAAGGAAGGTGTGTGTGCGCGTGTGTGTGTGTGTGTTTCAGTTCACTGCACCAGACAATCAGCAGGTCATGCCTGTTCACTAACCAGCAGCACTTCCTCTTCACAGCCATGCCGATTGGAGGGCACCGTGACTTAACCAACTAACTAACTAGGGTGGTTGATTAATCCATAATAAAGCAGCGGGGGGGCTTTGGTTGTGTCCAGAATCGAGAGACCTGGCAGCAGCACTGTCACACCGGCGACACAGGACGCGGCTCCCTCGGCGAGCCTTTTTGCGCTCTCAGTGTTAAATAATCATCTTATTTTAACAGTACAGTGAACGGTATTAAACAGAAGCAAGCAAGCAGAACCGCGGCGACGAAAAAAGACGATCAGGCACTTACTGAAACTTAAGGCGGACGTGTTCATTGTCCGGATTGCAATAGAGCCTTTCCAAATGCTCTTGGGAGTCATCCGATATACTTTGCCAGAGCTGGCCGTGAGCTTTTCGGATCTGCCAGTGGTAGGGCAGCACGGTGTGGTGCCGCTGGCAGTCGCTTCCGTACACACAGACCCCCTGCAGGAAATCCACGCAGATTTCCACCCCGTCCCCTTGATGCGTGTGATACTGAAGCTGGGTCAGCAGTTCAAACACGAGATCCAAGGAAGCTTCTTCGCTTTTATCCTGAAAGATCTCGCTTTTCAGTTGGCCGTCTTTGATGGGGAGGCAATCAGCTCCCTGCAACGACCCGGAGCTGTAGATGCCATTCATTTTCCCCCCCTCACAGGGGGAAACGACCGCAGTAGGCGCCGCCGCGTCCCGTGTCTGCGACTGGAAATGGGACTCATCGGGCGCCATCGTCACCTTTTGTCCCCTGTCCCCGAGCTCCGTCGCAGGGTCGGTTATGTCTCCGTCTCCCCCGGCATTTATAAGTACGGAATCTGCTCCGTCGTCCTTCAGACACACCTGGTTAATCCTCGCCTGCTTCTCCACGGCTGCAGCGCAAAGAGTCGCTTGGGGTCTCGCCGGGTTTTGCGGCACAAAAACTCCATCGCTAGCGACAAGTGTGTCCGAGTTCAGTAACGTGGTGAGAATGGGATCCTCTAAAGCCCTTAGACATTTGGAGTCCAACTTCCTCTGAGCGTGTTTCTTCTTAAAATAAGGTTTAACCAAAGGTATTTTGTCCGACAGTCCCATCTGCTGCTCCGTAAATCCTTCGCCTCCAGTGACCAGACTGAGCGCCGGTTCCTGCATAACCTGCTCCGCCGTATCTACCGGCTTTTGTAATAGACGCAAAGTTTTCTCCATGGCCTAACCGGGAAACCACTCGCACGACCTAGTCAGGTGTAGAAAAAGGAGAGAAAGTTATCAAACGGGTCGGCGGTATCACTTCGGTCACGTTATTTGTGGACTCACCTTATTCCTGAGTCAACCGCTTTTTCTAGTCCAACCAAACGGCGAAAATCGGCGTTATCACCGGGAAAGTTGTACATTCCGAAACGCAATACAGTATCCTATAAAGCGTTACAAAGTGACACATAAATCGACCAGCTAAACCGAGTCCCACTGACCGACTCGAGGACAGAAACGAAACTGAGCCTGATCGCGTCTGCCGGTGGCAAGGAAACTTTTCGTCTTCTCACGAGTTACGTGATGCGATCACAGCCTGCCAACACTTTGATAAAATCACTGTTAAACTGTAACAGATCGCTCTTCCTACGGTGGTTTGATCACTTAAAATCACATGTATCAGGTCGGGGGGCATTGGTGCCTGTCAGAAATCGCGGCCGAGCAGGTCTGCACGTAGTCCCTTTGTTAACGCGATCCCCGGGACACTGCGGCGCTACAGCGCACTGAACAAAAACCACCATTTTAAACCCCTTTTATGTTGGCAAACGAGACCGGCACAGAGTAACACGTAACGTATAATACAATAAAGCCCTGAAATTACAGGAATATAAATATATACTAACTATATCCTAAGCAAAAAAATCAGGAAGCTGGCCGATCTGCCTGTGACATCCAATTTTGTTACAGCACGTACGCCAATCCTATCTAAACGTACCGTGAGAATGATCCTCTTCCTCCCCCTCTGTCCTTCTCTCCGTGCCTCAGGTCCGCTCCGATCCTACGCGTTTCATGTCCTCGTCGATGTGCGCTAAGTTTTGCGCTAAGCCGGAGCTCTGCGCTGCGTCGCGGACCCCCACACGCAGCTGTCGCAGGGCAGCCAGGCAGTCTGTGCGCTTCCCTGCTGCCGCGGCCACTCGCTGCGACCTGGAGGCGGAGTTTCGCGTTAAAAGGCAGATAAGCTAGGGGAAAAAAATAAATAATGAAACAGGTCTTTCGGTAACAGGAAGCTGAAGCTACTGTCCCGGCGTCAGCGTACAGTATCTGTGTGTCAGCTTGCTGACGCACGCCAATGGACGGCTGTGAGTAGAGATCGGCGAGGCCAATGCGGACTTTCGTCCTTGTTTGCATTTGGAGACCATATTCAAACTTTTATTTTCCAGTACAGGAAGGATGTGCGAGCAGAAATGGGAGACATGGGGGGGGGGGGGGCGCGTCACTTTTCTCAATATAACGCTGAAAGCCCATCTCAAGATACACTGAAATATGGAAAATTAGGAATTTCACCGAAAGTGACTGGGCATCTCTATAGGCAATTACCGGGCGACACCTCCGGTGGAATCAAGACGCGAAACGAGGCGCAAGGTTATTCTCTGAGCCGATGATGGCGAGCGCGCATGCGAAGCTGACATTCGGAGCCGCGGCGGATCCGGGGACCCCAAGCCCACACGATCCGAACGGGATGTTTAAAAGACCTGGCAGCTCTGCCAGACGTGCCGTCACAGCGTCAAAAAAAGAAATAAAGCGCCAAATTATAATATAGACTCACCTGCTTTAAGAAAAAGAGCTGACGCAAACGAATAATTGCTTGGTTACACATCTATGCGTTTCAAACATTCCCCCAAACCCAGATACGTAACGTCCCATTGTTCCTGCAGCGACCTGTCAGTACTAGCCTTTTCACAGAATAACTGCTTTTAGGAACCCGCAAACACACACACTGCAACAGGTCTCAGACTAATGGCCATAACAGCCAAACTCGGAGAAACATCACAGACGATAGTTATCAGGAAAGTATCTTACTTTTAAGACACACCGTTACCAGAAATGTATTTCTACGGGGTTAGTTCGACCGCTGGATTTCGCCGACCTGGGGAGGAGTGGGTTCACATTCCTAATTTCAGTACGTGGCTACGTGCTTATTTTAAACTGGCCTTTCACATTAATCAAGATGTTTTGAGTGATAGCAGATCATTTTAAACAACAAAAACGCGGTCTGTGTGGTTATAAATAAATAACTTCGTCGTGATTTGCTCAAAATTCTCAGCCACTTGTCATTTTAGTACTTATTTAAATTAGATCATACCAGAAAATCCACCAGCGGCTGCGATCTAGGGGGCAGTCTTGGGTCTAAAATGATCCGTAGTACAGTGACCTAAAAATAAGAATTAGATCAAAGTTCTCTGATTACAAACGCCGGTAATGAACGTGATTTAACAAAAAACTACAACATGTGGACTAGAGTTTCACAAAGCCAGTTTGGCGAGTAATCTGCTGATAGAACACAGGTGTAATTGCCGTTAATGTTTGTGAATTTAATTTTAAATTAACTGGACACAAACAATATGAAAAATTATCAATTACCTCGATTTAAGCTGTTATCTGATGACAACAGTAGTATCGAAAGTTCAAGAACCAGAGGAACTGAGACTTATCAACTTTATTTTGTTGTCGTTTCATTAAATCAGGCTGATCTTGCCAGTTGATACGATGGTGTCAGATTATTACTGGTGACATATATTTGGAGCTGGATTCATGGCCTGATCTCAGAATGGCTGTTACCGCTGAGTGGGGGTTCCTTTTGGGGGACCTGTACAAGCCAGAGGGATTGGGAAGGCTGGGAATCAGGGCCAGGGTGCCTAATGGAAACGTTTGTGGGAACTGGGATACCCCCTCTTCTCAATTCCCAGTCAAACTCCCACCTGTGGGGGGAGGAGGGGAGGGCAGGGGTCATGGGAGGGAAGCGTAATCTGATGCTCCTTCAAAGCAGGGCACTTTTCCTCAGGTCTTTTAAACTGATCCAAGGGTAGGGCCCTGCTATTGTTGGGGAGACGGGGCGCAAACGTGAGTCAGTAGGCATGAAAGAAAGAGAGACATGGCGTGACCCTTTGTCTTGCGACTCGACACGCATCCCCCCCCCCCCCGCCCCCTAAGAAGAGCTGATGGTGCGCCCCGATTAGGAGGCTCAAGGAAAGCCAGAGAGAGGGAAGCTGGACGAGACCCAGCATGTCAGCCGGGGGATTGGGGGAGTGAGCAAGAATGTTAATGACCCTGAAACTGGCCGGGCAGGTTGAAGACGGACGGATGCCAGGGATGCCTCACTGGGCAGACCGAGAGCCAGGCAGAGGTCCCCTCGCTTGGCCACGCTACTCTCTCTTCATCCAAAAAAACCAGTGTCATGACAAACACACATATGTGGAATGCTCTTAATGGCCGTGCTCACCTCAATGGAGAATAAAAGCTGTGTTCAGTCGGCCATGTTGTTTTCATCGCTACGTTAGCAGCGGCTACGTGCTAGCAGCGGCTGGAAGAGTCATATTTGGTTCGCAGCCTCCGCAGTGGACTTGGTGTGACTGTGACCATGTCAGAAACAGGCCAGTGATCTCAGTCCAAAGTGGTAAACAGGGTGGGGGTGGGCGGTGGCCCAAAACCCCCCAGCTTTCATTTCTGTGCATATGCATGACACTGGGAAAAGGAAGACTATAAACTTTCCTGTTATTGAAATACATAACGTGAGTGGGTCAGACAGTTAATTTTACCATCCAGAAGTGTGTATGGGAATGGGAAAGACACTTGACCCCCACCCCCGAGAGTGCATGCGTTGGGCCGGGGGGAACAGGAGAGATACTTCACTTCCCTTCCTGTGACTGCGTGCGTTGGGCAGGGGGCAGCGGCTGTGAGACTCCGTGCTCTGAGGGTGGGGTCTGTACTTCGGTTTCTTTTCCGTACGTTTATGGGGGAGGGTGTCACTGGTTCACTTTCCTTTCAGCGAACGCAACACAGCAGCTGTAAACAGCTTGTCAGGTCTCAGGAATGCACCATACGACAAGACTTATCAGGCTTCGCCTAGCAGACTGCCTTCTGGACTAGTCTGCTGACCAAACTGGAGAAATGGCCTTAGTTACATAGTTACAATACATAATAATACAAACTGGCTGTAAATCCGGGGCTGCCTAGCCATAAAGTAACACTACATTTTTTTCTGTACTTAAGAACGTCCACAACGCACATGGATAGGAATGACGTTTTTTTCTTCTTCTTCTTTTGTTGTAAATGTGTGGAATTAAACTAAACCTTTTCATTTTCGAAATTCCTCTTCTTGTTCCCCTTGGTGATCAGGCCAACATACCATGTATGGGGAGTGACTGCCGTTCAATGCAGCCTTTACCTTATGTAATTAACACAGAAAGTCCTATTTCTGTCAGAAAACGGAACTTCAGTACTGTAACCACGACAACCGCAGCTTATCTTGAAAGTCTGGGTTTTCAGACTGTCAGGAATTCTGCCCCCCCGCCCCAACATACGCAAATCAGCTGAACAGGTATGAAGCTGATCTGTCACTCTTAACTATATTTATAGTGTCGCACTAAACAACTCATTATACCCTGGAACCATCTTTGATCCATCGTCTGATGGAAGGGAGGCAGTTTTGTCATCCTCCGTTGCAGCAGTACGTCACACATGTGCGGCTCACGTCAGGGGAGGAATGCAAAAAAAAATGGCAGAAATGCCGTGGAGGTTGTTGTTTTTATCGGCGCAGCGTCACACCGAAGCCCTGATAGATATTTGCCGGTCACAGCCAATTCCCCCCTCGGTCAGCTTCTTCCCCGAAGCACGTCTGGGCGCCCGGACACAATCACGATTTGCCTCCGCTAACATGCAGGTACTTGTCTGGTCTTGTAACGCAGCTGTGCGTTGAAGAGAAGTTAAATCAACACAAAGTCAGTATACAAAAAAAGAGACTACGTTAGTCTGGGTTTGGGGGAAATCCGTTTTGTTTAATTAACAATAATAAAGGATTATGAATCCTAGTTCTAAGTCGGGAGTTTAAGCGCATTTTCTGTCTTTGTTTATATGTATAATTTCTGTACCATCTATAAAAAAGGCCCTCAAATGAGCATGTTCCGCTTACAGGAATATCACAGGACAGTGATAAACAACGCGTAACCCTTGATGTGTGCCCCATTAAAGAAGTAGAGAAAAAAAAGTCGGTTTATCTGACAGGAAGCGGCATGATAATATACCGTAAAGGCTTTACTTGGCTCCAATACCCAGAAATTCACATTTAAAAAGGTGCGGTTCGAGATACTGCTCATAGCGGCGGGGTGATTCAGCTGCAGCGGCCGGCTGCGGATCCTCAGTGGAATTAAATGGAAAACTGAATAGAGGCGCCCCCTGCTGGTGGCAGGCTGCTGTGACGTGTGAATGAATACAAAGCATAAAGAAAAAAAACCAAACGTTTAATAAAATTAAATAATGGACCATTTGCATACTGGTGATGTTTATTGGTCCCGTGAATAAATATCATAACTAACCATGTACATTATGATGTACTTGTAGATCTTTCGGTTCTGGTTTGTATTTTTTGAAATATTACTCGTTCCATCTAAGCTAACTGAGCAGAACAGAGTGTGCTGAAACTAAAGGATGTTCCGTTTGCTGTTTCACAGGACACCATGTGTTGCAGAAAATGCAAATTCGGCTACCGAAATCATAAAAGCGTGCGGCGGTCCCGAGAATCGCATGTCCCGGCAATTATAAAGTTACCCCATCTGGCCTGCAGATGCTTATGTGTCAACTCTGGGTTATTCTCCTTACGAAAGGAAAACCGAATAAGTATCCTGATATAACTTAACTCCATCTGGGTCGGTCAGCGGTGCGGGTTTTACTATCCGAAGAATTTCCTGAATAGCCGTAAAAACCATCCGCCCCGATTGATTTACCTCGCCTGCATTCTGCTGTGTTTTATGCGTATCCGAAGCCCCCCCGCATAAATGCGCAGTCGGCTATCGCTCCTTATAATGTGGGCCTTTGAGCTGCGGAGATCCACGACAGTCATACGGATCATCAAACCGACCTACGCTCCAGCCGCGCTTGTGAGGCGACTGAATGTCAAACAGGGAGAATAGACGATTATGGAAATTATTGAAGCAATTAATTACCATTAGAACATGGCATGTTCGCTGATGTGTGAAGCACATCTGCATGCTTAACTCGATCATTC